GCATTCGGGTAAAAAAAAATGGTTCTCAGTAAAGTTACACAATTCTGCAGCCCATTAACAAAAGTTATAGTCGAGTCTATATTTCAGTTCTAGTTCAGTTCTAGTTAAGTTCCAGTTCAGTTCTAGTTCAGTTCTAGTTCAGTTCTAGTTCAAGTACAGTTCTAGTTCAGTTCTAGTTCAGTTTTAGTTCAGTTCTAGTTTAGTTCTAGTTTAGTTCTAGTTTAGTTCTAGTTTAGTTCTAGTTCAGTTCTAGTTCAGTTCTAGTTCAGTTCTAGTTTAGTTCTAGTTCAGTTCTAGTTCAGTTCTAGTTCAGTTCTAGTTCAGTTCAGTTCTAGTTCAGTTCTAGTTCAGTTCTGTTCTAGTTCAGTTCTGTTCTAGTTCAGTTCTGTTCTAGTTCAGTTCTGTTCTAGTTCAGTTCTGTTCTAGTTCAGTTCTGTTCTAGTTCAGTTCTGTTCTAGTTCAGTTCTGTTCTAGTTCAGTTCTAGTTCAGTTCTAGTTCAGTTCTAGTTCAGTTCTAGTTCAGTTCTAGTTCAGTTCTAGTTCAGTTCTAGTTCAGTTCTAGTTCAGTTCTAGTTCAGTTCTAGTTCAGTTCTAGTTCAGTTCTAGTTCAGTTCTAGTTCAGTTCTAGTTCAGTTCTAGTTCAGTTCTAGTTCAGTTCTAGTTCAGTTCTAGTTCAGTTCTAGTTCTAGTTCTAGGTATGTTCTAGTTCTGTTCTAGTTCTGTTCTAGTTCTGTTCTAGTTCTGTTCTAGTTCTGTTCTACTTCTGTTCTACTTCTGTTCTAGTTCTGTTCAAGTTCAGTTCTAGTTCAGTTCTAGTTCAGTTCTAGTTCAGTTCTAGTTCAGTTCTAGTTCAGTTCTAGTTCAGTTCTAGTTCAGTTCTAGTTCAGTTCTAGTTCAGTTCTAGTTCAGTTCTAGTTCAGTTCTAGTTCAGTTCTAGTTCAGTTCTAGTTCAGTTCTAGTTCAGTTCTAGTTCAGTTCTAGTTCAGTTCTAGTTCAGTTCTAGTTCAGTTCTAGTTCAGTTCTAGTTCAGTTCTAGTTCAGTTCTAGTTCAGTTCTAGTTCAGTTCTAGTTCAGTTCTAGTTCAGTTCTAGTTCAGTTCTAGTTCAGTTCTAGTTCAGTTCTAGTTCAGTTCTAGTTCAGTTCTAGTTCAGTTCTAGTTCAGTTCTAGTTCAGTTCTAGCTCAGTTCTAGTTCAGTTCTAGTTCAGTTCTGTTCTAGTTCAGTTCTGTTCTAGTTCAGTTCTGTTCTAGTTCAGTTCTGTTCTAGTTCAGTTCTGTTCTAGTTCAGTTCTGTTCTAGTTCAGTTCTGTTCTAGTTCAGTTCTGTTCTAGTTCAGTTCTGTTCTAGTTCAGTTCTGTTCTAGTTCAGTTCTGTTCTAGTTCAGTTCTGTTCTAGTTCAGTTCTAGTTCAGTTCTAGTTCAGTTCTAGTTCAGTTCTAGTTCAGTTCTAGTTCAGTTCTAGTTCAGTTCTAGTTCAGTTCTAGTTCAGTTCTAGTTCAGTTCTAGTTCAGTTCTAGTTCACTTCTAGTTCACTTCTAGTTCACTTCTAGTTCAGTTCTAGTTCAGTTCTAGTTCAGTTCTAGTTCAGTTCTAGTTCAGTTCTAGTTCAGTTCTAGTTCAGTTCTAGTTCTGTTCTAGGTATGTTCTAGTTCTGTTCTAGTTCTGTTCTACTTCTGTTCTACTTCTGTTCTAGTTCTGTTCAAGTTCAGTTCTAGTTCAGTTCTAGTTCAGTTCTAGTTCAGTTCAAGTTCAGTTCTAGTTCAGTTCTAGTTCAGTTCTAGTTCAGTTCTAGTTCAGTTCAAGTTCAGTTCTAGTTCAGTTCTAGTTCAGTTCTAGTTCAGTTCTAGTTCAGTTCTAGTTCAGTTCTAGTTCAGTTCTAGTTCTAGTTCAGTTCTAGTTCAGTTCTAGTTCAGTTCTAGTTCAGTTCTAGTTCAGTTCTAGTTCAGTTCTAGTTCAGTTCTAGTTCAGTTCTAGTTCAGTTCTAGTTCAGTTCTAGTTCAGTTCTAGTTCAGTTCGAGACTATATTCGACGCTATAGTCGAGGCTCTATAATCGAGTATATAGCTAATACTTTAGCGGAGTCTACAGATTTTATTCGATTGTATAGTCAAGCATATACTCAAAAGTATTAGTGACTATATTCAATCTATAGTCCAGACTATAGTACGTGTTTGTAGTTGATTTTGATTCTTTTTAAATAAATATCTCTCTTATGTAACATAATGACGTTATAGGGTTAATAACACATAAACAGTAAGAGTTACACACCCCATAAACAAACAAATAATAATACTATTAAAGTAGTAACTAATCTACAATGCTGCAATTAAAAAACAGACCAGAAAAGACACTAAAAGTACCCCTCTCAGCAACAACAACTACTACCTATTCAACTGATATCACAACAGAGATGAAAACTTAGGATATGGAAATAATATAAAAGCTCTAAAAAGTACATTCATAAATATAAAAGTACCATTCGACTAATCTAAAAATATTAACAATTTTAATGTTGCTATCAATCAAACATTTTAATGTTTAAAGCAACAACCAATATTTTTATTATTAGCTATGCCAAACTAAAAAAAGTACCCAAAATGTGCAAAAGTACCAAATTTTTCCCCTATACCAAAGCACTATATGTACTCTACCAAAAAGAGATACAAAAGGAGAGAATAAAAGACCTTAGAGAGGCATAAGGAAAAAAAATCTTAATTACTTTATGAATACAATTATTTTTTGTTACTGTTGTTGTTGGTATTGTCAGATGAAGTAACAATTACGTTTATGATAAAATATTTTGTCAGCTACAATGAACACACTACTTTAATTTGTTATAAATACGATTTATGTATGACTACTAGCACACAGCCTAGCCAACCAATTCCCTTCCCTTTAGTAATCTATATGTAAATTTTGATTAATAAAAATAGTCGCTTTTTCTTTGAACTTTGGACCTGTGGGTGTGTTTAATATTATTCATAGATTCTCAAGTAAACAATTTATCTGTTGCAGTTTACAAACTGATTAATAATTTACAGATAATTAGAGGAGTGACGCAATTAAATGATGAACCAATTATAAATAATATTGTTTATAATTTGAGGGATCATTCTGATTGTTAAAATCTAATAAGAATGGTACTATGATTTGACTATTCGATGTGGAAAAAATTTTGAACATATTAATTAATAGTCGTGTCAACGGTCAAGTTAATAGTCGAGTTTGGTTCAATTTCATTTCTAGTTCTGTTTTAGTTCTGTTCTAGTTCTGTTCTAGTTCTGTTCTAGTTCTGTTCTAGTTCTGTTCTAGTTCTGTTCTAGTTCTGTTCTAGTTCTGTTCTAGTTCTGTTCTAGTTCTGTTCTAGTTCTGTTCTAGTTCTGTTCTAGTTCTGTTCTAGTTCTAGTTCTGTTCTAGTTCTGTTCTAGTTCTGTTCTAGTTCTGTTCTAGTTCTGTTCTAGTTCTGTTCTAGTTCTGTTCTAGGTCTGTTCTAGATCTGTTCTAGTTCAGTTCTAGTTATGTTCTAGTTCTGTTCTAGTTCTGTTCTAGTTCTGTTCTAGTTCTGTTCTAGTTCTGTTCTAGTTCTGTTCTAGTTCTGTTCTAGTTCTGTTCTAGTTCTGTTCTAGTTCTGTTCTAGTTCTGTTCTAGTTCTGTTCTAGTTCTGTTCTAGTTCTGTTCTAGTTCTGTTCTGTTCTAGTTCTGTTCTAGTTCTGTTCTAGTTCTGTTCTAGTTCTGTTCTAGTTCTGTTCTAGTTCTGTTCTAGTTCTGTTCTAGTTCATGTTTCTAGTTCTGTTCTAGTTCTGTTCTAGTTCAGTTCTAGTTCAGTTCTAGTTCAGTTCTAGTTCAGTTCTAGTTCTGTTCTAGTTCTGTTCTAGTTCTGTTCTAGTTCTGTTCTGTTCTAGTTCTGTTCTAGTTCTGTTCTAGTTCTGTTCTAGTTCTGTTCTAGTTTCTGTTCTGTTCTAGTTCTGTTCTAGTTCTGTTCTTGTTCTGTTCTAGTTCTGTTCTAGTTCTGTTCTAGTTCTGTTCTAGTTCTGTTCTAGTTCTGTTCTAGTTCTGTTCCAGTTCTGTTCCAGTTCTGTTCTAGTTCTGTTCTAGTTCTGTTCTAGTTCTAGTTCTGTTTTAGTTTAGTTCTAGGTTCTAGTTCTAGTTCAGTTCTAGTTCAGTTCTAGTTCAGGTTCTAGTTCAGTTCTAGTTCAGTTCTAGTTCAGTTCTGGTTCAGTTCTAGTTCAGTTCTAGTTCAGTTCTAGTTCAGTTCTAGTTCAGTTCTAGTTCAGTTCTAGTTCAGTTCTAGTTCAGTTCTAGTTCTAGTTCTGTTCTAGTTCAGTTCTAGTTCTGTTCTAGTTCTGTTCTAGTTCAGTTCTAGTTCAGTTCTAGTTCAGTTCTAGTTCAGTTCTAGTTCAGTTCTAGTTCTGTTCTAGTTCTGTTCTAGTTCTGTTCTAGTTCTGTTCTAGTTCTGTTCTAGTTCTGTTCTAGTTCTGTTCTAGTTCTGTTCTAGTTCTGTTCTGTTCTGTTCTGTTCTGTTCTGTTCTGTTCTAGTTCTGTTCTAGTTCTGTTCTAGTTCTGTTCTAGTTCTGTTCTAGTTCTGTTCTAGTTCTGTTCTAGTTCTGTTCTAGTTCTGTTCTAGTTCTGTTCTAGTTCTGTTCTAGTTCTGTTCCAGTTCTGTTCCAGTTCTGTTCTAGTTCTGTTCTAGTTCTGTTCTAGTTCTAGTTCTATTTTAGTTTAGTTCTAGTTCAGTTCTAGTTCAGTTCTAGTTCAGTTCTAGTTCAGTTCTAGTTCAGTTCTAGTTCAGTTCTGGTTCAGTTCTAGTTCAGTTCTAGTTCAGTTCTAGTTCAGTTCTAGTTCTAGTTCAGACTAGTTGTCTTAGTAATCGATACAATGTCCAGGCAGAGTATGCACAAAATTCTTTACTGCCGACATTTGTATTAAAAATAACAACTTTTTATTCATTTTACTTTCGTATCTCGTTATGAATTCACAATTAAATCATTTTATTAACAACCGTAGAAAAAAATAGCTGAGGAAAATAGTATTCGCCGTGATTCAGATACATAAATGAGATAAAAACGAAAACAAATTCACGGTTAGAATTTCAACAACAAAAGGCAGAAAATTATAAAAGACAATCATACAAACAAATTATAATACAGTGATAAAAATCTGAGTAAAAAAAAGAAACAAAATAAAAAATAAATAAAATACTGGAAAAAATTTTAATAGCAAAATGTGAAATAAAGTGGAAATTAATGACAAAAAAGGTCGTTAAATTTAAGTGAAAAGAAGAATGTAGACAGAATTATATGTATATGGAAAATGATCAATTGAAAAAATTGCTAAATTGTTTTAAAAAATTACCATAATTAAGAACAGAAAAATAAATATTGAAAAATTGTGTATGAATAAAAAGTTGAGCACCAATGTTTATTTCATATTTAACTATTGAAGAATTAAGTTGTGTGACAGAAGAGAAAACAAATAATAAATGTCAAACAATGATACCTACAACAACAACAACAAAAGAAACAACAGTAGCTGGGGCAATAACAACAACTGCTGCCCCTGCCATCTGTACGTCAACAGCGTTAACAACATCTGCTCCAAATTTAACCACAAAATCCGCTACAAATTCACCGCGTATTGCCCGCATTACCATTAATAGATCTACACAAACCAATTTTCTATTGACCCACCACCCCAACAGCAACAATGATTTCTTTGAAAGTCACAGCATGACCAGCAATAGCAGCAGCACCAATAGCATTAACAATATTGGAGGAGGAGGAGGTGGAACGGGTTCTGCTAATTGTAATAAAGCTAACAGCAGTTGTAGCGACAGTACTACCAGCAGTGACAGTCATGCGGATATAATGTCCTTAGAACAACTTTTACTTGCCGTACAAGAGGAAACCGATGATGAGGGTGGTTTATCCGATGTCATACCACTGCCTCCTCTAGCTCATCATCATCATTATCATCGTCATGCATGTAAGCACAACAACAACAGTAGCAGTGACTGCGAAGAATGTCAAAATTCTTGTTGTTCCTGCTCTGACAACGACGAAACGACACCTGCCTCCTATATTAACAATAACACCAACAGCAACAATAGCAATTCATCTTCATCGACAAGACGTTTTCGTCGTTCTTTGGTGGGTATGCAAAGGAAAACGGCATTCCGTCAAAGGAAATTAGATTCATTGGGTAACTGGCGTCGTCAGCGGTAAGTTTCCCACAACTAAAATCTGTTAATGATTCCCAGTCTCAAAACGGGATTTATTTTGTTATTGTCGTATGAGAAACAGAGATTTCCTACAAGCAAATTTCCCACAAGTTTGTATTTAGTTTTTAAACCAGGAAACGTTGCTACTTGTTGTTGCAATACATATTTGTGTTTTTTGTTAGCTTTTTGTTTTTCATTGTGAAAGATTTTTTGTTGCTGGTTTTATTGTGGCTACTTAGTGCAATCATGCGGCAAATTTTGTTGCAAATGATTGAACATTAATTTAAATAATAACGCAACAAATACAACAACGAAAATAATATCAGTAAAATACCATAAAAACGTATTCTAAGCATTAAAAATATTTGTAGCACAGTGGTATAAAAGGCAATAAATTGCATGCAGAAACAAAAACTAGTTAAGTACAAATGGACTACAACTGGACTACAACTAGCACTGAATAAGAACTTAAATAGAACTGAACTAGAACTGAACTAGAACTGGACTAGAACTGAACTAGAACTGAACTAGAACTGAACTAGAACTGAACTAGAACTGAACTAGAACTGAACTAGAACTGAACTAGAACTGAACAAGAACTGAACTAGAACTGAACTAGAACTGAACTAGAACTGAACTAGAACTGAACTAGAACTGAACTAGAACTGAACTAGAACTAGAACTGAACTAGAACTGAACTAGAACTGAACTAGAACTGAATTAGAACTGAACTAGAACTGAACTAGAACTGAACTAGAACTGAACTAGAACTGAACTAGAACTGAACTAGAACTGAACTAGAACTAGAACTGAACTAGAACTAGAACTGAACTAGAACTGAACTAGAACTGAACTAGAACTGAACTAGAACTGAACTAGAACTGAACTAGAACTGAACTAGAACTGAACTAGAAATGAACTAGAACTGAACTTGAACTGAACTAGTTCTGAACTAGTTCTGAACTAGAACTGAACTAGAACTGAACTAGAACTGAACTAGAGCTGATCTAGAACTGAACTAGAACTGCTCATTATTTAGGTTTTCAATCTGGCGAGAACAGATAATAGAACTACAGTGAATAAATTCTAGCAATAAAAAACAAAATATAGTCGTCAGAATCTCTTTAAATCGGGTCAGTTGGCCATCTCGTCTTAAATTATACTTGTTTTTCAATTCTAATAGTAGATTACGTGGCGCATTGTCCCCATTTACAATATATTTTAATTGTATTACGGATTGTGAAGAAAGTTTACTTCGAAAAAAAAATTCTAATAAATAAATTAACACGTTATATTTATTTATTTATATTTAATACAAACAAATATTATCTAAAAATATAACATTTCTAAATTTAATCCTAAAAAACTATTTTAAAATAATCACTGACGTAAATTTATTGAAGTGTTTAATACTTATGGCATTTAAATACTTTTATTACACTAAAATATCAAATTTTATTTAGAGTTTATAAAAAGATGCATTTAACAAAAAGGCCTTTCCAAAATTTAACTTAAAAAGTGTTTTAAAGTATTCTGAGATTGAAGATTCAGCATATTAAATAAAATAAATTAATATTACCCCAAATAGGGTGCAAGTAGTAAGTAATCCACTTTAAATCTCATATACTCCCACACTTGCTCTCCGATTATAAAACCCATCATAAGCAGGCAAATTAGTTTTTGGTTAAAAATAAAAATACAAAATAAAAAATGCTTGAACTTTTGCAGAATTTCTAACAAAACTGTGAATTTTGCTTACAAATAAATCTGATGATACAAATATTCACATAAAAATTCACAAATATTTATATACTCATACAATTGATGTCTGTTGATGAGATTTTGTTTTCTTTTTCATATTTTGATTTTGAATTTAAAACTGAAAAATATCATAAATGATGTTTGACTACCATCATCATAAATAACATGGTCGGTCAGTCGGTTGGTCGTCGTCATCTGCATACTTTGTTATTTCTGTTGAATTTTTATTATTATTTAATGAAAACATGTTATATTTGATTTAATTGATTTATGAAAGATTTAAATTTCATGAAAATGCAAGTAAAATAAATGCAAAAAAAAAAGAGAAATCATAGAAAAACAATGAAAATGCAGATAAGAATATAATGATTGAATGTAATGTATACATTTTCAATAATATTTTTGTAACAGTATTAAATGATATTCCCAAATTGCTTTAAAAAAGAGTTATTTGGTAATAACAAAAGTAAGTCTGTAGTAGTTCATAGTCCAATCTACCATCAGCCTAAAATATGGACTATTGTACAGACAAGATGTGGTTAATAGTCCGGAGTATAGTCAGTCTATAGACCAGACAATACAACGTTTGTAGTTCTGACTTCAGTCAGTCCATAGTCCAAATTGTAATCCATCTATAGTCCAACCTATACTTCAGACTATAGTCTGTCTATAGTACAGACTATAGTCAGTCTATAGGCAATATTATAGTCAGTCTATAGTCCAGACTATAGTCAGTCTACAACCCAGACTATAGTCAGTCTATAATCCAGACTATAGTCAGTCTATAGTCCAGACTCTGGTTAGTTTATAGGCGAGACTATAGTCAGTCCAGACGATAGTCAGTCTATTGTCCAGACCATAGTCAGTTAACTGCCCAGCCTATAGTCCAGATTATAGTCAGTCTATTGTCTAGACTAAAGTCAGTCTATAGTCCAGACTATAGTCAATTTATAGTCCAGACTATAGTCAGTCTATAGTCCAGACAATAGACAGTCTATAGTCCAGATTATAGTCAGTCTATAGTCCAGACTATAGTCAGTCTATAGTCCAAACTATCAGTCAGTCTATAGTCTAGACTATAGTCAGTCTATAGTCCAGACTATAGTCAATTGATAGTCCAGACTATAGTCAGTCTATAGTCCAAACTGTAGTCAGTTTATAGTCCAGACTATATTCAGTTTATAGTCGAAACTATAATCAGTCTATGGTCCAGACTCTGGTCAGTCTATAGGCCAGACTATAGTCAGTCTATAGTCCAGATTATAGTCAGTCTATAGTCCAGACTATAGTCACTCTATAGTCCAGACTATAGTCAGTTTATAGTCCAGAGTATAGACAGTCTATAGTCCAGACTATAGTCAGTCTATAGTCCAGACTATAGTCAGTCTATAGTCCAGACTATAGTCAGTCTATAGTCCAGACTATAGTCAGTCTATATTCCAGACTATAGTCAGTCTATAGTCCAGACTATAGTCAGTCTATAGTCCAAACTGTAGTCAGTTTATAGTCCAGACTATATTCAGTTTATAGTCGAAACTATAATCAGTCTATGGTCCAGACTCTGGTCAGTCTATAGGCCAGACTATAGTCAGTCTATAGTCCAGATTATAGTCAGTCTATAGTCCAGACTATAGTCAGTCTATAGTCCAGACTATAGTCAGTTTATAGTCCAGAGTATAGTCAATTTATAGTCGAGACTATAATCAGTCTATGGTCCAGACTATAGTGAGTCTATAGTCCAGACTATAGTGAGTCTATAGTCCAGACTATAGTCAGTCTATAGTCCAGACTATAGTCAGTCTATAGTCCAGACTATAGTCAGTTTATAGTCGAGACTATAATCAGTCTATGGTCCAGACTATAGACAGTCTATAGTCCAGACTATAGTCAGTCTATAGTCCAGACTATAGTCAGTTTATAGTCGAGACTATAATCAGTCTATGGTCCAGACTATAGACAGTCTATAGTCCAGACTATAGTCAGTCTATAGTCCAGACTATAATCAGTCTATGGTCCAGACTATAGACAGTCTATAGTCCAGACTATAGTCAGTCTATAGTCCAGACTATAGTCAGTCTATAGTCCAGACTATAGTCAGTCTATAGTCCAGACTATAGTCAGTCTATAGTCCAGACTGTAGTCAGTCTATAGTCCAGACTATAGTCAGTCTATAGTCCACACTATGGTCAATTTATAGTCCAGACTATAGTCAGTTTACAGTCCAGACTATAGTCAGTCTATAGTCCAGACTATAGTCAGTCTGTAGTCCAGACTACAGTCCAGACTATAGTCAGTCCATAGTCCAGACTATAGTCAGTCCATAGTCCAGACTATAGTCAGTCCATAGTCCAGACTATAGTCAGTCCATTATCCAAACTATACTCAGCCTATAGTCCAGACTATAGTCTATTGTCCAGACTATAGTCAGGCTACTGTCCAGACTGTAGTCAGTCCATAGTAATCAGTATATGTATAAGAACCATATTACTCTACAAATTAAATACTTTTTCAATAAAAATTTTAATTAAGTGCCTGTAAATTAAAATCTCAGTGCTCAAGAGGTATTTTGTACAACATTTACCTTATGATACTTAAATCTCTTAAAACAAATTACATCAATATTTAACATTGTATAAATTTGTCATTGTAAAGGATATTTTACATCCTTCTTGAAAAAAGTCAATATCAATATGTAAATATGTTTAACAGAGAAACATAAAAACATAATTTACATCCTATTTGCATGCACAAGCATGTTGTATTTAAAAATATTATTTTTTTTTACAAAGACATTATGCAAGCCGCTTTAAATATTATGACCCTTCATTATTTTTAAAAATAAATATATACATATACAAATTTGTTATTGATAAATGCATGATAAATAATAAATCATATTTATTGGTCACATAAAAAAGATAAGACCATATAAAAATTGTTCAAAGGATTTTTTTTAATATTGTAAAAAAGTTATGGTTTTTATATATAACTCAACTAAATGAAAAAGAAGCAGTGAGAGCGAGAAGGAAAAAAACATACACAACCGATTATAGCTGAAAGAATATATTATTTAAGTTTTTCCTAGTAAATCGCTATTGTTTATTAACGTAAAACAATTAAATATTTATGTCAGTTATAAATTTTCAAAAAGGTTATGATGATGACATTGATATTTTTCGCTATAAATGAACGAAATTAAATTTTTAAGAATTTTCTTTAGTTATGCCAGTTTATGCAAAAAAAAAAACTAATTTTTTTTTATCTTTTTAATATTTTGCAGTCGAACAACTTCTAGTAGTGGTATAAGAAGACCCATACGCATTGTACCCGATTGGACGGAAAATGCCATACAGGGTGAACATTATTGGAAACCATCATCAGCATCGGGTGATTTATGTTGTCTGAATGAAGAATGTATTGTAAGTAGATTTTATATTCAAAATTATCTATTAAGAATACATAAACATAAGAATATTGCAAGCCAAGTCAGACTCAGAAGAATACATAAACATAGTGAAACTCCTCATCGGATACCCAGTTTATACCCGAAACTATAGTCAGAAAATAGTCTAGAATATAGGTATTGTATAGTCAATCTACAGTTCTACTATAGTCCACTACTATATATAGACTGTGGTCTACTATAGTCCAGACTGTGGTCTGTCTGTAGTCCAGACTAAAGTCAGTAATATACAGGCCTGTCACAGAATTTCATTCCGATCGAAAGTGGAATTATTTCCGTATTTTTGCTTCTTCTAAAAAAGAAAACGAAAAATTCTTTCGGAATGAAACCACTTTCAGTTTTTGAAGTGGAATTGATATTTGTATGTAATTAACGCTTTTCTTAGTTTTAATAATAAGAACCTTTACTAAAAACATGGTTCTTGTTTTGATTAGCTAAACAGGAACAATTTTAAATGAAATCTATATAATTCTATTAATTTTTTGTCAATTTACGAAATAATTCGGAATTTGGAGAAGCTAAAACAAAAATGATCGGAATAATAGTACGGAATTGAAACCATTCCGATCGGAATGTGTGACAGACCTGATAATCCAGACTTTTATCCAAACTATACTCAGTCTATAGTCCAGACTATAGTCATTTTATAGTCCAGAGTGCAGTCAGTCTATAGTGCATACTATTGTCTGTCTATAGTCCAGACTATAGTCTGTCTATAGTACAGACTATAGTCAGTCTACAGTCCAAACTATAGTCTGTCTATAGTCAGTCTATAGTCCAGACTATAGTCAGTCTACATTCCAGACTACACTCAGTCTATAGTCCAGACTATAGTCTGTCTATAGTCCAGACTATAGTCTGTTTATAGTCCAGACTATAGTTTATCTATAGTCCAGACTATAGTCTGTCTATAGTCCAGATTAAAGTCTAGACTATAGATCGTCTATAGTCCAGACAATAGTTAGTCTGTAGGCCAGAATATAATCATTCTATAGCCCAGACTACAGACAGTCTATAGTCCAGAATGTAGTCAGTCTATAGTCCAGACTGTATTCAGTTTATAGTCCAGACTGTAGTCAGTCTACAGTCCAGACTGTAGTCAGTCTATAGTGCGGACTATAGTCTGTCTATAGTCAGTCTATAGTCCAGACTATAGTCTGTCTATAGTCCAGAATATAGTCTTTCTTTAGTCCAGGCCATTGTCAGTCTATAGTCCAGACTATAGTCTGTCTATAATCCAGACTAAACTCAGTCTATAATCCAGACTATACTCAGTCTGTAGTCCAGACTATAGTCAGCCTATGGTCCAGACTATTGTCAGCCTAAAGTCCAGGCTAAAGTCAGTCTAAATTCCAGAATGTAGTTAATCAATTGTTTGATCACTATAGATCAGACTTCGGTCAATCTATAATTCAGACAGATAGTCAGTTTATAGTTCAGACTTTAGCCAGTCCACAGTTCATACCATTAATCTTGAGTTCAGCCTATAATCCAAACAATAGTCAGTATATAATCTAGACCATAATCAGTCAGACAATAATAATAGCCTAACAATATAGTTGAATTTCTCTGAGTCTCTGGGAAATTTTCTTTCACTTCAAATAGAGGAATCGCTTAAAGAAGTCACTCGCTAGACTGAATCCTGATTTAAGAACCTCTGCTTATTTCCTCTTTTCACTATAATAATTGAGGTTTAAGGTGAAAATTTTAAGAAGAAATTCATTTTTATCTCTCAAGCACTTTATGTAATTTCTGAAAAAATAAAAAAAAAATAATTGCAACCACATAGGTAGGGGAAATGTTGCTGCTAACATTTTTGAAAGGTTTTCTTACACTCTACCCCCAGAATAAATATTTTTGCTTCTGGAAAAAATGCGGTTTATAGGTTGTTATTAAAATTTTCACTCGACAAGTTGTAGTATGTCAATATGTATGATTTGTAATCTTCCTAAAGAAGAATTTTTAATTTGTGGTTTTTAATTAATTTTAAAAGTGTTCATTGCCTTTAAAAAAAGGGAAATGTAAAAAAGTTTGATTAAATAATTTATATGAAATGTCACTTCTTGTGTTTTATGTGACATATGAAAATAGAACAATTTCAATAGGAATATGCAAATTGTTTAGTTAGAAATATTTAAAATTGAAATGTAAGAAACTAAACTTTTAACTGAATATTTTCGAAATTTATAGAAATAGATAGACAAGTATTAGGGAACAAAAGCAAAGTAGACAAGGAAAAACGCTATCTGTAATATTGTATTCGAACAATTATTTCTCTTTCAAAATATACGAAAAACTTATGAAAATTATACACAAACAATTTTTGGAAATAATGAAAGCCGGATATAAAGAAAAACTTTTATACGATGAGCAAGTATCTCCTCTCAGATTATGTCTGTTATAATGCCGCTGATTAAACAAACATGGGAAAAAAAGCACTTGAGATCCACAAGTGGTGTTGGTAATGATGATGCTGCTGTTGGCTGCTGATGTTTAAAGCAAAAAATACTGTTTATAATAAAATCATTAACAAAAATAAATACGTAAAATAAGAAGAATTATTTTACACAATTTATAAGAGGAACAAAATTTGTGTAAAATATAAACAAACTATAGGGGGGGGAGAAAGGTAGTAAACAGCAGCAGATGCAATTTTTTTTTGTAAAATTGTTTATAAAATTTGTAAAAAGTTTTATTCGCTATATACTTATCAAAATCGTTGTAAGGTTGTATTTTACTTCCGTTTAACTCGTACAATCTACTTAAGAATTAAATTGTTGAAACGAGTACCTACTTTAAGATTAATTACTGACTTTTCGCAGATTAAATAAAGTTTTTTTTAATGGTATTTTATAAAATTTTACAAAAAGCCATTAATTAAAGACGCATTATAATGAATTATTAATAAGTGGTTAGTGTTTGGTAGGGGTATGTTAAGAAAGTTAAACAAAAACTAATTGAAATGTTTTGTATTTTTGTATTAGGGGAAGGGGTATAACATTGATTAGCAAACAAAGAGTTTCCTATCATTCCAGAATAACATAAAAGGATAATTGTATATGACGTCCCGTTTATATAGGTTCCATTATTTTTTTGGAGTTAGGCGAAATCAAGCTCCATTAGCTCTTTGTGCTATCAGAAACGGTAATAGCATGATCCTAAAAGCAGGACAATTAGCTTAAACGACAAAGCCAATTCCCATTATAATTGGATTTTCGCTTCGGAATGACTCGAATCATACTCGGTCGAATCATAAAGGTTGTCAGCTCAGTGAAAGTTTTTTACAGTCGAACTGTTCCAACAACACAAAAGATAAATAGTCCATGACGCTATTCTGGGCTCCTTATATCAGACCAGACCATCACAGGAACCTGTACCGAACCGATTCGTTTGAAGCTAGGCCGTTAAACCCTCAGAATATGCGTTTAGACATGAAAGCATAATATTCCATCATGAAGTGGATGAGATTATAGGATATCCCACTGGATACTCTGTTATAGAGTCATGGATTAATCTCCATGAAAATTGTTGTCAAACTCAACAAAAAGCTACTCAAAGTAGGATTCATCGAAAAGCAGGGATGCAAGACGATTTTGCCTGCCCTCAATGCTGCTAAATCATTATGATTAACCTTAGTGTAAGAGTTTGTATGAGAAGCCAACCAGCCTAATCGACAGCAAAGTCAATTTCCACAAACATTAGAACTTTGCTTCAGAATGAGCCGATTCATACTTGATCAAATATTGTGAAAACAGCGAAAGTGTTTTCCTCCAAGAAAGAACTATCGGTACAGTCGAACTGTTACAACAACATCAAAGCCAAATATCAATAACGCTAAGAAAATTATATATATAATTACTTGGGACCAGACCATCACTGAGAACCTGTACCGAACCGATTCGTTTGAATCTAGCCTTAACCGATAGGCTACGCCCACTTTATAGTTCAGACCGTAACCCATCCGACTACTATTTGTTTCAATCAATGCAGAGCGATCTCTCTGTGATATGCTTGACTTCATAAATGGGTATCCATTACTCCATGAAGATTGTTCTCAGACTGAACAAGAACATGCAAAATCATTAAAAGCTACTCAAGCAACAATTTTAAAACGTTTGCGAACAAAAGGATTCCAAAAAGCAGGGATGCTCGGACAACCAGCCGAATCGACACCAAAGGCAATTCCCACGATAGTTGAATCTTCGCTGCGGAATGAGCCGAGACATACTCGGTCAGATTGTCAACTCAGTCAAACTGTTACAACAACACAAAAGCCATGACACTGAGGTAATGATCTACATTTAGTGGGACCAAAAGGTTCCTATGTATTATGAGCTGCTGACATCTGTCCATTCGTCACAGGGAACCTGTACCGAATTGATTCGTTTGAAGCTAGTATTGGCCGATGGATGTCTAGAACATGCGTCCAGATATGAAAGCATATTCATTCCATCATAAAGTGGTTGAGAAGTTTTGCAGTACGCTCTTTATAGTCCATACATCAATCTATGCCGTAACCGTAAGAGCCAAAACAATGGTAATGATCTGTATTTAGTGGGACCAAAATATGAACCTATATCTATTACATTAAAATCTGACCAGGCCATCAGAGGGAACTTGTACCGAACTAATTCGTTTGAAATACAATATTTCATTATGATTTTGCGGAGCCCACCTTATAATTCAGAACTTGCCCCATTTGATTACTATTTGCTTCAATCGATGCCGTTACAAGGCTTGAGGACCATCACTTAACGAATATTTGGTCAAGCTGGTCATATCGTCGGAGCACATTTATAAAGTTTCCCTAGATTTTTAGTTACACTTTTCCTGTTAGTTCGTACTCTTCTCCATATCCGGATCAGACATCTGATATCCGGATCAGACATTTGCGAAGCAGTCTCAATAGACACCAACTAATAAATTAATCTTATACTTCCTCTCGTTAATAAGCAACTGATATTTGCGTTATGTAGGTATAGTAAATTTGCAGTCTATATAGCTTCGGAAATTTCCATCTAAAGTCTTAATATAGTGTAGACATAGAAAGTTAGATAAATGGTTCCATTTTCAATAAGGAGGTATAGTTGATAGTAGCAACTTTGATAGTCAGTACCGCGACAAACAATAATAGTAGTAGATCCTCGCTGCATTTCTGATTACCAAAGTCGAGGAAGATAATACGAACTAATTCTCCTTTCATTATTGCTGTCTCAGTCATTATTATGTTGAAGCGTTAATAGTTTAGCATAACTTCCGAGAAATTAAACACGGTATAAGAGGGATAGAAGTTAGAGGGAAATGACCCTAGAAAGGTCAATAATTATTGAATTGATTAATATCAGGGAAATAAAGATATGTCGTGAAGATGGCTTTTGGCATCCAATCGTATTTATGGTTCGGTAATAGGTTGATGATGTTCTCTCAAAAAAAATCTTACTAATATCGGGGTTTAATAAATTTTCAGATATTTTTAGCAGAAGTAAATACCAGTTATTGATAAAATTTTTGGAGAAAGCTTCAATGATTCGATTCATTCACTTAGACCCTTGCGTTCCATGTGTATAAGGAATTGTTTTAAACAACCCAAACCTAAACGAGTTAAGACCACTGATCGTTTATTTCTGCTACTAAACTTTTACGACTGAAATCAAATAAATATTTTGTTATTTATACAACCAAAAATGGCTCATTGCCTGGACTAAACAAAGTCCCAGACTGCTGTCATACATTGATAGATGCCAAATGTTTTGCAAATTTTCACAATATAAATACTTAAATAAAACACTTTTTTTCCAATTACACAAATAACAAGGAATGAGAGAAAAATATTGTATTTTTTTTTTTTTTTTTGTCAACCTTGAAATATTTTCAAACTATTTTTAAAATGAACTATTTTGAATATAAAGAGAGCGAGGGATTTTGAAAAATAATTTAGGAATTTTAATTACCTAATTTAAATTAAAGAAATCATAGCAAAACGTAGCCAAAACACCATACAATACCTCTAAACATACATGCACACATTCTATAAAATCGTACTATATAAATGAAATATGAACGATCAGAAAAACTGCTAAAGTAGAATTATTAAACAACAAAAATAATAATTTTGAAAAGAAAAATATCAACAGTAAACAAAAACAGCAATTTAAAAATACTATACAAATATATACATATTTTGTTGAAATATTTGTTATTAAAATATATATTTTATATTTTCTTTTTTTTTAGAAAAGTGGACAACGCATGAAGTGCTCCGCATGCCAATTAATTGCGCATCAAAATTGCATTCCAATGGTCAATGAAAAGACTCAATTAGCATGTAAGCCAACATATCGAGATGTAGGTATAAGACAATACAGGGAACAAACTGTTACTCATCATCACTGGGTCCATCGTAAAATGGAAAAAGGCAAATGTAAACAATGTGGAAAGGTAAGTGTCGTCTAGTAGTAGTAGTATTTCGAAAAGAAAAACATCCATCAGTCAATGACACTTTATGGTTGTCAGATACAGATAGAAAACAGATTTATTTTTGTTTTTTAAAAAAATAAATACAAAAATGTATTAGTAGTGGTTGTTTTGTTGGTATTTATAGTCTCTTTAAAGAAGAATTATTAATGACTATAAATAATGGTGGAAATTCATAAATATTTAAATACAATTAAAATTAAGTGACAGCTACAAAGATATGATGTTGACAAATGAGTAGAGTAGACAACAATACACACATTTAGGGTGGAGGGGGGAAAAGAGATAAGAAAATGGATCCCTCGATACGCCAGAGGAAACATTTGTTATTTTATATTACAACTAATTCCATAATTAAAATGACATTAATTTTAAATTGAATCTAAATTTATTACAATTGAAATGTTTTCATGATTTCGGACAATTGGAGTTGTTGTTGTACCATTCATCCGAAATAAGCAAAATTTTCCGATTAAGCTCCAGTCCATATGGGATCGAATCTCCGCTATGAACCCCACACCAAGATCGTGTTATTTGATCAAGTAAGACTTTTTCTTGTAGTGTTTTCTTATGGTCCAACTTTACGTAAGTTTTGGACCACCAATATGCTTGGAACACATATTTGTACATGCTACCTTGCTTCAAAAGCTAAAAACAAATCTATTTTTATTTATATTTTCACAAAAGAGTCAACTACACCCGCCGAAAACATCAGTATGTTCCTACCCTGGTTTATTGGTTTATTGAGTACACGGTAAAGAGAAGTATTTTCGGTTCCGCAAAAAACTACACAATTCTAACAGAACATTCTTAATTGATAGTATGTAAGGTTACAGGTGGCTCTATTAACGATTCTGGTATTATAACGTAATAAAATTCGTTGTCCCTTTGAGCTCATCTCGATTGAATGCAGGAACAAGACTTTCTCTTATTGTATCCAAGGTTTCAGTCTATTATGTATACGATTCAAACAATCTAATCGTTCGTTATTATGGCCAGGCAGCCAACACTTCGTACATAACTATCCCACGTCACAAATACTCTTTCACCTCAAGTACTTTCCAGTGTATTCGAATGTCGAGCTTTATTAGGTTAAGTTTTAAGGAAATCTCGCCATTAAGCGCGAACATTCGGAGGATATTTCCATTGTGATACCTTTAAAATGATCTCTTCCTATTTAGAGCAGGTTTTCCTTTGGTATCTGAGAAATTTTTCCGATATTTCTAACAAATTGGATTAAATTCGTTAGTGACACATCCATGCTGTAGTCCACATTATTTAAGACTCTAAAAACTCCTTAGCTCATACGATTTGAAATAAATCCAATCATACAGTCACAGTTTGATGTCGAAGTGCTTTACGTAAGCGCCTGCCGTGTTGGCCTTATTGCACCGTGTTACTTTTTCAACCACAGGGTGAGGTGATTAGACGACTTTTTGCTTCTTACATGGCGCTGGCAATTTTAACATGCCCCGGGGGATCCTCTGCGGGATATCTGTTGTCTCGACAACAGCACCGTATTTATAGACTTTGCAGTGCATCAGTCTTTCAACTGTCATTCTCCTCCCACGAATTTGGGTTTAAACGACAGTCACCACGTGCACCCCGAAGTGACCTCTCCAATAAACGGAACAAAATAAAGTCCAAAACTGGCCGGCGGGCTACCGTTGTACCAGGTTATTTCGTTCTCTCGTTCGACCCCATGTATCAGTCTTTCAACTGTCATTCTCTACCAACGAATTTGATTTAAACGACAGTTACCACGTGCACCCCGAAGAGACCTCTCCAATAAACGGAACAAGACAAAAACTGGCCGGCGGGCTACCGTTGTACCAGGTTATTTCGTTCGTCCCCATGTCAAATCATTCCAAGAAAGGCAGATCTTATTACCCTGATCATTACCAGTCAGGGTAATATGAATATCCATCCAAGGACGATCCGTTTAATGGAAATTCATTGCCAATTTAATTTCCACGAATCAACACCAATTCTCCAAACGTCTACACGCAGATATCAATTATCTGCGGTTATATATTTAAATATCTGATTCCTCATGAGTCTGTATTGATGTCTTAAGTTTCAGCCTGACAAAACCATGTAGGCATTAGGTGTTATTAGATTTGACTTATATTTTTATGAGAGTCTATTGCTTATTGTGTCGAACTTGCGCTGAATGGATGGAAACACCTTTTTTTAAAAAATCTGTTATGACGTCCGAAAGTCTTATAGTGTCTGGGTTTCGACTTTTTTCTAAGTTTGTTGTTATTACAAAAAAAAAATCGACAATTTATTTCAAATGTGATGTATTTCGTACAATAAATTAAATGACATAATATTCTGAGTCCAATAATCCACTGTCAAAACAATCGCACTCCTCCTCGAAATTGTTACAAAATAAATCGTTATTTAAATCACTATAACTAAATTAAACTTTTACGATTCAAAGTATTTATTTTAGATTATTTATTTCCTATTTTTCAATTGTTTCATTCATTATCTTTCAGTTCACTAGTCTTCTATTTGATTATCTCTTTACACTCTTCCCTCCTGACATTGCTTTCACTATTGTTGTTTGGTTTTTTTCACAAATATTTTTATTATTGTTGTTTTATAATAAAAACATCAATATATTTATGTCACAAACCTGTTAAAGATTTAAGACATATTACATCAATTTATTTTTGCCTCCTAATCCACCCTCCCGCATTCACAATCACAAACAAAAAAAAAAAAACAAACAGAGCGTTACACTATATTATTCGCTCATGAACTGTCAATTTCATCAAAACAAATTTTTATCGATTCTCACTCAATTCAAATTGTTGTTTGTCTTCTTGTTGCTTTTTACTTTATGTTATTGTTCTGTTTCTGCTTCCTCTTCTATTTTCTTTTTATGTTTGTTTTTGTACATACAATAATGTTGTTGTTTTTGTGTGTTGTTGTTTATTTATTCTAATTTTAGCAAGTTGTCAGTTTGTTAGTGTGTCTACACTACATAGAAAAAAGAAATTTACTAAAAATATAATAAAAACATTAAGTCTGTCCGAAGAATTATTAGGTGTAGTGTTAAAAGTACTCGTTTATTTTTCACTGTATGTGTTTATTTTTAGCGTCCACTATATTTGTGTAGTGATCTAACGTAGCTGTAGCCAACTGGCCCATTAGCTCAGTTGGTTAGAGCGTCGTGCTAATAACGCGAAGGTCGCGGGTTCGATCCCCTCATGGGCCATAATAAATATTTTTATTTTTTCTTATTTTTTGCAAGAAAATCACAATGTTTTAGACATAAAGAGGTCATTAGACTCAAATTTGATTCCAAATTTAACAAAATTAAAAATAAAATTTAAACAATTTGTTTCTTAGTTTTAAATAGTGAAAGAACATCGCCATTTTTGTATTTATTTAAAGGTAAAGTAATATTTTTCTTGTAATTAAAACTTAATCAAATGCTTTTTATTATTCAAATCCATTAAACTTCATTTTAGTTGCTAATTAAGGAAATAAGGTCATATTAATTTAAGTTTAATTGCTAAATATCCTTTATAATTTATTGCAAAACTCAACAAATACATATTTGTTTTAATTCCCAACTTAATATTAATATTACGAGTTTAAAATGTCAGCAATTATTTAAAATAAACTTATTTAACTCTCTCTTTCTCTCTGGGTAAGGAGTGCGCCATTTTAAAATATAACATTATTAATGCAACTGAAGAAAAATAATTGTTTTTAAAAAGTGTTCTCCTAACGCCAAAGAACGAGTCATGGAACCAATTCTAATTTATAGAAAAATACAGAGAGCCTATTTTATCTGGTACATGGAAAGCTATTGCTCGCAGGCCAGAGTTTCGGAATTTGTCTTACGATGTCTTTCTTGAAGTGGTCCCTTCGGAGGTAAACGTGGTTAAACCCAAATACCCCTCAGAAGAGTTAAGTCGGGGCTAAATGTTGGGAATGAATTGATGTCAAATGAATGAGATACAGGATTAATCAGTGGTATATAGACCTAGCCACATCTATATACTAGTAGGAATATGTCGAATGTTTTCTCTTGAATATAACGGATGAATGAAAAGTGTGTTAGGTTGAAAGGTGATTCCATTCATTGTCAGGGTATCATGGTTCAGGGATTGCTCTTTTCATATCCGACTAGCCACAGTGAGTTCTCTCTGAGTAATAACTTTTCTTTGACTTATTTCATGGATTTGTATTTTACTCTACCAGTTACGTCTCTAGGTGATGTTTGCTGTATTAACAGAAGCCATGGCAGATGTATGGTTGTAAACGGAAGTGATACTCTTGCATTTCGGAAGTTACGCAAAGAGGCAGTGATGATCATGTGCGAATATTACCACCTGTGTGTTCCTACAGAACATAAGGCGATATGATGGGTCCTCCTTAGCTCAACCTGTGGTTGCATAATTTAAATATTTCTTCCATCCTCCCATACCTTTTTAATATAATTATTGAGAATTGTGATCAATAAATTGCGTCTTTATGAAAGTTGTTCGAGACTACTTTACTCAAATCAAGATCCAATTGATATTGTCTATCACTTCGTATATTCTTCCCGAATATATGAAGCTCATTCCTTTCCTGTTTCGACAATTGTCTTTCTCTGCCAAAGTTAATCAACTTAATGACGAGAAACAAAATCATGATCGCCGAACAAATCTAAAGTATATTAACCTAATTCTTTAATAGAGAATATCAAGGAATTTGAGCTAAAATAACTCTTCCTAGTTTCACCGGCTGAATCAGTTAAAAGTATTCTCAATATAAAGCATAAAATTCCCCATCTTTGTCCGAATTTTAGTCATATTTAAGAAGTTATAGTAGCGTAAAAATACTTTTATTTGTAAAATCAGACCGCGAAATTGATGGTCAATCTAAGAATCATGTCAGCTGTGGACGTGTTGTGATCATAACAATGCTGCTAAATACTCTGAGTATACAAGGCTAGT